ATTAACTCTCTGTGTTCCTGCGAAGAAATTTAGAATTATTCGAAAAATACCTTTTTGGTCAAAATACTCATATGGTCCGGTCCGTCAATAACCTAACGACCATATACTCATATGGTCCGACCATACGCGTATGGTCCAAATACTCATATTGTCCGAAAGATATATATATAATCTGTACGCTGTAAGACAAATTTCCTTCCCTAATGTATACTGTATAAATCATATACAAATTCGCTTTTAAAGTATAACGGATGTTCTACCCCAGGAATAGATTACCTCAGCTGTATTTGGCTAAATCATTTTTTGGTCCTCAATGCTCTTCATTTTCGTATTTAATTTGGCCTTTCAAGTTTGTTTATTCAAGCGACACTGATAAGTCTGTGTCAGACGAAACTCGCGTCTGGCGTACACAATTATATGCTGTGTATCTTTGATGAGATTTTTGTATTACTATGTCGCTTGTGTGTTTTTCTCCATTAAGTGCTTTTCGGGGACTGTTGACATAAAATTTCAGAAATCCAATGACATAAAAGATGTTGAGGGATTTCGCTCGTGAAATTCAAATAATTTTTTCATATAAGAAATAATATTTTTAATACAAAATATATAATATATCATAATTATGTAAAACAAATAAAGTCAAGCTGTTGAATTCAAACATAATAGAAATGAAATTTCTTTTCATGATAGAATATGAACTTTTCATATGAGATTTGCAATGTATGGAAAGACATTGATTTTAAAACTGCATAAATAAACGCAACAATAGTATACCGCTGTTTAAAAGTCATAAATCGATTAAGAGAAAACAAATCCGGGTTACAAACTAAAACCGAGGGAAACACATCAACTATAAGAGGAAAACAACGGAACAACAGAAACACTGAACTGCAACAAAAACAAACGCCAACATACATAGAAATTGACTATTTGATAACAACTGTGATATCCTAACAAAAAAGTTGTAACAAGAATTGTAAAATCGTTTTATTACAAGTGTATTTGAAATACGATTCTTTAAACTATATACTTGCATTGAGTAAAGGGTTTGCTATGCACAAACTTTTAGCGCATTGCCTAGAAAACAATCCGGGTAGTTACAAAATATAAAAATGGAAGGAAAGGCTATGCAGCAGACATCCTCAAACACGAAGTATAAAATATATAGGAGTCAAAATATGAGTCTACATATAGTAAAGGTTTACTTTGCGTATACAAATGTTCCTGATCATAATAATCAAAGTACCATAGATAAAAAAACGAACACAAATTACAAATTACTCTCATGATTACATGTAAAAATGAAAATATACGAATTTAGTCTTAACCAAATTCATGATCTTCATAGTTCGTATTTATTGTTGAAAACAGAGAACGAAAATACAAAAGGGAAAATCAACCAAAAGTAAAAAAAAAAAAATTAGACAGACCATTGTCAACAGAAAAAAGAAAAAAAGTTCCCCGAAGACTTCACGGAAAACCAAAAGCTACACAATCCCCATCCAAAAAAACTGCGGATTAAATAAAAGTTCGTATGTTATATGTCAAGCATTTATATATATTTAAACACATATGCATACAAGTAGTATACTGCGGTACTCGGTATAACGTTAATATAAAAAAAAAATTGCAGGATTTTGGCGTCGCAAGCTTCATCTCCAAAATGATCCATATATGAAAGTAATTAGCTAATAATAAAAAATAATGTTATAGTCGGTTTGAGTTTAATAGAATTCAGGAAAATATTTTTTCATTATCTATCACACGGGGATTATGTAACACATCGCCTTTAGAGTTGGCGTAAGTACATAAAATCCAAACTTTTTGTCCTTTCAGAACCCTTTGTATACCGTCAGAAAAAGCACAAACATCATTGTTGTCTGAAGAATTTTTGAAGCTTAATTTCTCTATCCGTTTCTCATTTGCTATAATATAAACCATGACATGATCACCTATTTCTGGACATAATTGCACGGTAAACAAGTAAACACTAGACACAGGTGCTGTGAATAAACCAGAGTTTTTATTATATTCATGACCGTCGTTCGTAATAATGGTATTGAATACCAGAATCCTTCCTTGTAAATTTGTATCCGACTGTAAAAAGACTGCCTTCAACAGTGAAAAAATGTTGGTTTACTGAAATAGCAGTATTATTTGATACATAGTGTGGTCATACAAAGGAACTTTTCAAATAAATGCGACATACTCGGCGACTAATTACATGCAATTGATGAAATAAATCTATATGTGTATGTGGGAAACAACAAATCTGACTACCCCTGGCTAATGACAAACATTTTAAATGTATCTTTTATATATTTTTTTTTCATTTTGCGCATTTAATTTGATGAATGAATGAACTTGTTCATTTTTATTCTGATATACAAGCACTGGTAATACAAAGCCCTTTTGGAGACGTTGATTATATGTTTCCGTAGCTTTTTACTAAAAATATTGTTGAAAAATGCTGGTTCGAGGAATGTTTTGTTAGTTTCAATGAAACAGCTGGTAGAAAGAGTTTCGGAATAAAGATAACAAGCATACATTGACTGAAAATATAGAATTTATTTGCACTCTAAAAAGAATAGAAATGTTCGACAAAGTCCTGTTTTTCTACCTGTGTCTAAGCCTTCAAGTTGCCTATACAAAATATATAAAATAATATATAATCAATTAATTTTTATATCGTGAGACAATTTATAGTTATTCTATATATAAATCTATCTTACCATTTCGAAGCTGGTTAAATTTTGCTGTAAATCCATCCGCCAAACTGTCAGTTTTTATCATCACATCTTCGATAGCATTCACTAATGAACTGTTTAAAAAGTTCTTTCCATCTTTGAATGTATCTATCATTGATTGTACTGAACTGTTAAAATGAGAAAACTTGCTATCGCCCGATTGCTTGAAAAAGAGGTAAAAGATCTCAAATGGACAACCAAAATACATAAATCGAAGAGAAACCGACAAAACAAAAGCCAAAAAGAAAACGAAAACGACGAAAACAAAAATAGCACTCTACAAAACACTACATCCTACATCAAAAACTAATCACTGAACAACACGAGGTCCATCACAAACAAAGGGAATAGCAGATCACCCGGAAGGTTAAGAAAATTATGCTTTCAGGAGGTAACAATAATCTGAAAGACAACATGAAGACGCTTATTTAGAACTGTACTCAGTAGAAAAGTAGACAGCTGTAGTTCGTTTGAGTTCTATATCTTCAATAATAGATTATGAAAAATCCGCCTTTTTAAGATATTGCTTATTTGGCAATGAGAATATTGCTTAGGTAACTACAAGTTGTCACTAGGTATTGTTTTACTAACTTAACAAGATAAATCAGAGTAAGTGGAGTGGATGAATTGAACGTTACAGCAACTTGTCAGGTGATTCATTCATAACTGCTAATAATATAATTTTATTATAAAATAGAAATTTACTATAGAGACCAAATAGGCAACTGTTTTTTTTTATTGACAATTTGTGAGACTTCGTTTAACGATAAGAACAATATTGGATATAGATAAAATTACCACATACTGAGTTTGAAATTTTTTGAAGATTTATTAAACTCAAAACATTGAATACAACAAAATACGCAGTTTTTTCGTGATCATTTACTTTTATTTTGTATAATATATTTCTATTGCGGTGCATTATGTTGGTTTGACAGAAGAAGATCAGTAGTGCTCAGCAGATAATCCATGTAAACTTCATGTTTGATTTAACTTCCAAAAATACGTATCAGAAAACTCGATTATAAACTGATATTCCAAAACTGTAGATTTTTTTTTAATTTCTTCGTCATGATTCTCATCATTGTAACGAACCAGGACTTCTTGTCAGGAAAGGGAATGAATGTTTCAATTAAACATTTCAAGTCAAATAAGGTTTTTCAAAAGTAATATTCTTCAAAGTCCATAGATGAGCAGTTATTTTTTTTTGCTTTATCTGTAATTGTACCGATTGTGTCTTATTCCAATTGTGACATTATGACTAGGTGAATTTGCTTGCCAAGTGATGCGCGCATAGCACAATCTCCTAATCCTTTCTACGCATCCGGTATTGCTCCTGTCTTAGTTCATGCGATTCCCTCAGTTTTGTTGTTCTACCTTGATTTCTTTATTCTAATGGATTTATGAGATTTGAAAATCTACCATTGCCTCTTATTTGTAGACTAACTTATTTGTAATGAGCATTGTATTCATCTATTAAGTGACATATATTTTGTCCAGTTTTTTGTAAACATATGAGAAGAAATAACAGTTGTCATAAAAGGTATTTATATGTATTGTCCTGATTTATTTTCGTGTTTATGCAACCAGTATTTAGTCATACGCAAATATTCACGAATGATCTGAAACTTCTCAGGGACCTGGTGACGAATTATAAAAAAAGGAAGTGATGCATTCTTTATTTACAAAGACACGGAACTTAATTACAGAATTTTTTAAAAATATCATCTCATCAATTATTTCAGTAGAAAAGGCCATGGCTCTCACGCTGAACAATTTCGTTTTGTAACTATGCATGATCCACGCATGATGTGGGGGCATCATCAAATAGAAGTTTAGATAGGAAAGCCTTTTTTTTGCAATTTTATATATTAAATTAAAACGAAAATAAAACTTGCCCATGATAAAAACCTCGACAAACCCAGGGCTGCAATAAATTATTTCTTAATTAAAGTGTGTTATCAATTAACCCTAAAGATATATGACTGTCTCAGTAGGTACTCATGAATTGAGTAGGCAAATTGGTATATATGTGTGACGGAAAGAGTAATTGACAAGTCAATGGATAAAGGCGAATTAAAAAATAGTTGTGATAGACAGATGTTACAGGTAACAATCCTTAATGGGCATGTCAGTTTATCCAATACATTATTCTGACGTCAAGCCGACATACACAATCAAATCATACCGGATATAGTATATGCACTTTCTACATGAAACTGAATTACAGATGCAATAATGAACACCAATTCAACAAATTGAAAAAGATTTAATTTATTTAAACAAAAATGTTAACAAATAATATCAGATCTGTTACAGAACATTGAATAGTTTATGTTTATAAAATATTAGTCATTATTAATTAAACTCTTGGATATGTTCAGCAATTACATATACAATATTCGTACATTGATAGGCAAATATTCAATTAATTTGTATTAGCTTTAGAAAGATATAAATGTGCGGATCGCCGAGCTTTTCTCCTGTTTCTTAGCGAGTACAAATAACTGTATATTTTCTTACAATGTTGGAATATTGTTTTTATCCTGCAATTTAACATTTACGCTTAAACGTATATTGTTTTGGTTTTTTTTTTCACTTCCCAGCCTTTCGATTTGTTTTCGAATGAAATCAACATGACCTTAACGCGGACCGCGATGAGGACCCCAAATTGAACTGAGACGTAAACAGTAATTTGTATATAGTAATCGGTCGCTAACAACAGAAGCGAGAGCCCTACGGTCATAAAAATATCGAGGTCGATTATCGTACTCAGACTCAGATTGCAACCAATCAAAATACTGGATTTGGTGTTTCGAGTACGATATTTGAGTACAGTTTAATGACCGAGAGTTCAGAAGACTAAAAACGTATACTGTATGTTTATCACTTTATGTTATCTGTACTCCTTTATTCGTATAGAAGAAATGTAGATTGTAGGATAAAAACAATACATTCACGATAAATGGATATTTACAGCAAATTATTCAATAATAATCATGGGACTTATACATTATATGTAATCAATGCAATCATTAAAAGAAAGGTAATTTGTCACTTTTGCATCATATTTGTTTTAATTATCATTTATACTCCTTTTATGAATAATAAACATTATAATATAGCATCAAATATTTCAAATAGATTTGTTTGTAAAATAAAACTGCAATATTTTTTTATATTTTTACTGATCTTCCTTTATAATAACAATTTTAACGAGAAGCTTTCCCAACGAATTACAAATATTGCATTTTTACCGAATTGGCATTCCATTCTTTTTTTCTTATATGGACATTGTCTCTTTACGTCAGACATTACAAATGCAGATATTAGACGATATTTCGTCAATGCTACTGCAATATTTGGTACTTCATTATAAAAGGGTTATTGCATTAATATTGAGGAATATTGTCCCAATCAGTATATCATACTGCACTTGCAAGCCCAGGGCAATAATCCTCAGTATAAGTGCAAAGACCCTATCATATGGATATAAAACGCACACAATATATGTATATATATATAGATATGAAAATGTTTAGTATCAAAATATGAAGTAAGGCATATTGAAAATTGGAAACGCATTTTCAAATTCAAAATCTTACGTATAAACGTGTAGTGAAAATTTGATACTCTGATATCTTATGTCAAATAGGTTTAAAAAAAAAACGGAAATTCATATATTTTGTAAAAATGAATTAAGTTTCAAAAGTATGGAATAGATACCATTTATAAATATGAATATATACATTAAAGATTTCTTTTTTTCATAATTAAGAAATTATTGGCCCGAATTTCTGAGGAAACGCGATATCACATTTGAAATCGCATTAAAAAAAGTTTACAACTGCAAGAATAGATGTGAAATTTATTAGCTATGTATGAAAATATAAAAATGATAAAACAAAATAACAATCAGACCATATGAATGTTTTTTCGCAGACTAATGTTAGAATTCGATAATCACTCAAAATGTTCTGGAAGGTACTGATCATCAATCAAACTTTACCCCCAAATCACACATTTCTTTCCAGGATTCATGTAGGATCCTGCTTGGCAATTAAATGTTTTGGAAAATTCGTCAAAGTTCTGTAGAGGTCCAACAACCCTACAATAAAACATTTTGACTGTATTCATGAACAAAATCCTTGAAACTAACAATGATGCTAATGTGTACACAATATAAACATATTTTACTAGCTTGATGAATGGTATTGCAGAAATTCCTCGATTATGACAATGTTTTTACATTTAAGAAATGAATGCAATATTTTTTCCGCTATGAAGAAATAACATCAAAAACGTGGTGTGCGCTGAATAACCTACGTGGATTATTTAAAAGTGTGCATCACATTTTTAAGTTTATTTCGAATAGACAGAAAAAATATTACAGTTATTCCTTATAATTTAATTCTAAATTCAATTTTTTAGGAGTAAATTTTGAAAAAAAACGTTGGTGACGTCACATGACAAAATTATGTCAATGACCTGATAGACCAAATACTTTCAGCTAATCAGAATTAAATTATTCCACAATGGAATGAGCAACACAACTATTTGAGCAGGAACCAAATACCATTATCTGAGTTGACCCCGATTTGTGTATAGGTTCCTGTTACTCAACCTCAAGTTTTCTGTATGGTGTGTTTTTAACATTGCCATATAAGCGGGAGATTTGGCTAGCCATAAAACCAGGTTCAACCCACTATTTTTTTCTTAAAATGTCTTGTACCAAGTCAGGAGTGTGGCAGTTGTTATCTACAGTCCGTTTCTATGTATGTTGGCGTTTGCTTTTGTTGTAAAGTGTTTCTGTTGTTCCGTTGTTTTCCTCTTATAGTTGATGTGTTTCCCTCGGTTTATAGTTTGTTACCCGGATTTATTTTGCTTAATCGAATTATTACTATTGAACAGCGGTATACTACTCTTGCCTTTATTTTTGATATGTCTATCCGTCCTTTTTAATGGTCATTGTTTCTGTTTTTCTTTGACTCATGACATTGATTGTCGTTGATGTCCCCTCCCCCTTTTGTTATATATTTTCATAGTTGTTAATTTAGGTAATAAAAAACACTACAAGAGAGTTTTGAACCTACTTTTAACAACTACCATTTACCCAATAGACAATGTAAAGTAGTAAAGGTACTGTTTTTTTTAATAAATTGTTGTGATTTAATTAAATTTTAATTAATCACATTATTAAAGTTTTATATATATAATGAATCATATTGTCCACGTCAAATTTACCTTAGGTTTTCGCTGTCATGCCTCAATGTTTACATTTGAGTATGGGATCTTAATGTGGGTGATGCATGCATAGCTGGAGACGATTACCATGTTGACCCCCGATCTTGCTCCTTTTTGAGTTCATATGATTCCTTCCGGTTTTGTTGTTTGTTACCTTGATTTGTATCTTTGGATCGATTTATAAGATTTAAAAATCTGTAAACTACTGTTACAAAGATTTACTGATTTTGTATTACTACGAGTTTTACGTATTTGACTTCCCAAACATTTTCGGGATTAAAGATTGCATTCAAGCAATCAAAATCCTTATGTGGCTGGCTATATAGTTATCAATTTTCCTGACTTCATCATTTGTTTTGAAATAAACAAAACATAGTGCATAGAGTGCACCACTTTATACATCCTATCAATGAACATTTCAAGACGTTTACTAATAAAATGTTTAATAAAATATTTTAGTTACAAAAGGACGTGTATTTGTAAAATCATACTTGTTAAGTAAATTACATTAATTTTGGATGTTGCAAGAATCTAGTAATTGTTCTAAAAATATCAATGCTGTCATCGTTCAAGTAACATTCAAAATTGGAATTATCTTCCTTTATCCATAGTTGTAGCTGAACCAATTTACAGTTTTCCTTTGAAATGTTTAATTGTTAGTTCCCACTACAAAATGAATGCAATCTTTACCATTCCTTACACCAAAGCATTTTGAGTTATCGATGGTTCTTACTGAAGACAAATGCTGTGCCAGTAAAACTAATACACTACAATATGTATACGTAGACATACCTAGAACGAGCGTCACTGTGAGAATCTACAAGGATTCTTCTTACTGCTTCTTTTGGTCTAATGATTCCACACCATACCTGAACATGATTTACTTTTGATTATATTTGAAATTTATTCTTATATTATTTGAGAATCAATATATACGACAACCATTTTTCAAAGTAAGTGGGTCAGTACAATGTTCAATTAGTACCCTCTGGAACATCCATTAAAATTGATCAACATAAACATAAACAATATCACAGAAAAATTAATTTTGGGTTGTTTTTTCTGTTTATTCTTTTATTCGCCTAAATAATTAAAGTTTGAGTTAATATTAAATGAGTTATCAAATGCTTATCGAAATCCCTTTTCCTCATTTCATCCGTACAGGCTAGATAACAACAAAGAAACTTTTCAAAATGCATCTTTAGTTTTAAATAAAATGCAGTAGTGATTGGTAGTCAACTTCAGTACTGTCGTGAACACACGGATATTGCGTTATTGAAATTTGCTGTTAAGAAATTATTTTAAATTAAGGCATATAATTATATCCCTCATACGAAACTCTGATTTCTTGCCTAGCTTTGTCTATACTTTTTTGCAGTTCTTCATTTTTTTAAAACGTTTTGTATTTTCAAATATTTTGGTCTCGAGCATCACTGATAAGATATTTATTGTCGAAATACGCATCTGGTGCATTACAATTAGTACCTTTAATATTATTAGAAAAACAAACTTAGAAAAAAAAAGCCCAACGTTGCTGCGTTGTCTCATGAAAGATGATATTTGAAAACGTTTTAAGACTGATGAACAATACACAATTGAAATAATTCACACTACATCTAAGGGCATGATATCTTAGCCATTACTTCGTTTGTGTGAATCCGGGCACTCCGGCTTCCTCCACCAATGAAAACTGGCCGCAACGAAATAGCCCAAAAGCGGTGCTTAAAAGCGGCGTTAAAACACAAATAATCAAAAATCAAATCGTTTGTGTGAATATTGACGGATAGGTCAATAATCCAGTACTAATATAGACGGATAGGTCAATAATGTAGTATGAATATTGACGGATAGGTCAATAATTCAATATGAATATCGACGTATAGGTGAATAATACAATTTGAATATTGAGGTACATTTTCATTGTTTTCATATTTCATAATTACATACTTGTGCAGCATTCAAGAAAAATAACTGGTTTGGTGAAAATTCCAATCCCGGCAGAGGTTTTTCTTCTTTCCCCTTGTGTTTGGTAGCAACCAGTTTTCTGTATGCCTGGAAAAAATATTCTATGTAATTTGGTCTCAGATGGAGAGTTGTCTCATTGGCAATCATACCATAACCATCTTCTTATTTTTATAATGAAAAATATATAATTCACTTTAACAATAATACGTTCTTTTCTTGAAATACGGTAATCAGGCGAGTTCAACGCCTACCTTTAAATCTAGTTCAATAAGATAAATATCAAAATAAAAATGAAGAGATGTTGTGTGATTGCCAATTAAACAACTATCCACCAGAGTTTAAATTAAAGTCTATCTGGACCATGTGTTGTTCGTTAGTACTTGTCTTTGTTTGTACGTCTGTTAGTTCGGAGGGGTCGAATATTGGTGGCTGGAGTGGTCTTTTTCACTGTCAAATATATTTGGTTATTCCTTTTAAGCTTTTTATGTATTATTAAAATTCCGTAGGCAGATAAGGCACAACTTTTTGGATTTTTTGGATTTTAACTTTGATGTACATTTGACCTTTCAAATGTTTTGATTTGAGAGCGACTGACAAGTCTTATGTATACGAAATGTGTGTCAGTCGTAGTAATTTAAAATCCTTGTATCTTTGATTGGCTTTTATTAAGAAATTAAATTGATTTTAAGTTTCCTTTTGGACGTTTTTAGTGAGTAATACAATACATGAAACTGCTATGCTAGTATGAATTAACGACGGTCTAAATCAAGAGATAACATTAAGAATCTGTTACCATAATTTTACCTTAAAACTTTCTCTTATTCCACCATTATCTGCTATGTTTTCTCCAAGTGTTAATTTTCCATTTAGCTAAAATGATTATATGAGTTTTTGTTATTTAACATATACCAAATAAACACATATTGCTTCTAATGAAACAACAGCATAAAAAAATGTTAGCAAACAAATAAAGACAGAAGACAAGAAAACACAATAATCAAAGTAAAAAAAAAGTCCGACGGAAAAGTAATATTTTATTGTTTCTCTGTTGGAAGTCATCATGCTGCTTGTAACATGCAAAAACCCCAATGAGATAATAAAAACGGGGAATAGAGAACGGGATTAAGGCCACGAAAAATTAATATTTAGAAACAAAAGAAAACCAAACAGAATACACAGCAACCAACGACAACCACTGAATTACAGGCTTCTGACTTGGGACAAGATTGGCGGGTTTATCCATATTTACGAACACTCAATCTACAATATCATTAGACAGATTTAAAATTCCTAAATGTATTTTAATTGTTTTTATTCATGATTAAAGGTTCATTAATTGCTCATTTATATAAAAAAAAATATCCATCATAATATGAACAAATCTATAAATACCAACTGGTAGCGATAATAATGTAATAAAATAATTTTATTTGAATAGTTTTATGAGAAATCTTACCTTCATATTAGCTGCCGTCACAGTATAATTGCCGTACTGATTTTGTATACATTCAGCTTTAGCTTTGAAGTTGTTTATAGCTGTATTGGTCCACCATTGGTTTAGTTTACCATGTTTGTCATACCTTCTCCCTGAAATGTAATTCATTGTATTGTTAAATACGTATAAAATCCCCTACAAATCCTCCTGTTTTATCTGTTCTAGGTCGCCGTAGTTTTCCGCGGCTTCCTCTCCTTCCCTTGCCAAGCCGTTAACCTGTGGCTTTTTATGTTCTTGGTCGCCTCTTTCTTGTTTTGTATGTCACTTTGTTTTCGAAAGGGATATTATTTTTTTGGCTTGGATGTTTTTTTGTTATGAAATAGTGTTGTATTGTGCAATAAAGGTCACTTCTATTAACTCCATATCACACACATAAACATTTTAGAAAGAAAAAAAATCACACCACGGACATACAAGGTAACTTATGTCATTGAATCCTTTGAATGAAATTGATTGTCTTATATTTTAAATACAGAAATAAAACATTTATTTACCAATGTCATCAAACACATATTTGTAACTTTTAATTTTAATACATGTAATAACATTAACGGTACCAATTTTACTGCACCAAATGTGTAATTCGACAGTTAATGTCTTTAGATAGTGATACTCTAGTCAAAAATATTTGAAAATCCAAAACTATTACAAACGTTGAAGAGCTGATCAAACCAAAACGGACCTTTAGTATAGGCAAATCCGGACAAGAAATCAGAGCTTTGCATGAGAGAGGATATTCATCGATTTAAAATGATTTAACAAATTTTGAAACAGCAAGTGTCAATCAAATAATATCCGTAGTTTCATGCCAGTTTCGAAGTACTGGCTACAGGGCTGGTGATACCCTCTGGGACTAACAGTCCATCAGCATAGGTATTGACCAGTGGGTGGTATGCATACAGATTTCTTGTCAATCATATTATTGATATTACCATATAAATATATTACAAAACCTTAGTTACTGACACTATGAATAGTACATAAACACAGTTCTGAAATTAAACTTAGTTTGATAAGGTTTACATTTTAGTTTAGGGAGATTGGACGAAATTCACCAAGTAAAGACAAGTTTATTTTACCTGAGTCATCAAATCCATGAGTAATTTCATGTCCAATCACATATCCAATGCCACCATAATTAAGATAACTAAAATATATAGTATATATATGATGTAATGTTCATTAAATTTTTCCTAAGTATTGTATACATTAAAGATATAAGAGAAATTGCAGTCTTAGCAGTTGTCCTCTGTATTATTATTTGAGAGTAAATACGATGATCAGTGTACATGCAAACATCATCTCCAAAGCGAGTGAGAGTTACGCCAATTTTCAAAATGTAGTTATGCTTATATTAGGTTTCCCTTTTTTAAACTTCATTGATTCAGACTTATGTTTTTTTGAATTCCGTTGGAATCTATATCAATTAACATTGCTTATTTGTAGTTAGAAACAAACAATAATGTCTGTAATGAAATTATTTACTAATTTACCTTGGGCATTGCACACATTTGCGTCTTATGTGCTGATCGTTACGTTCTTGTATGCTTTATATCTACACCGAAGTATTAAACGACATTGTTTTTATATATGCAGGTCAAGCACTTTTGCCTTGCTTTCAATAACTTCGTGAATGGTTTGTATCAATACTTCGCTGAACTAGTATACATTATTGTTTAGGGGCCAGATGAAGCCCGCCTCCGGGTGTTTGATTTTCCCACTGCGTAGAAATACATTGGTGGTCTTGGGCTGTTCTTTGGTCGGGATGTCGTCTCTTTGGCACATTCCCAGTTTCCATTCTCTAACGGCAACCAACAATAACTTTACTTTCATCTTATTTCAAAGAAGTAAATTCATCTGATATGTAAGGGATATGATGTATTGCAGTACTGTTATTATCAAATTTGAATTTAAAAATCAGTATCATTATATCTGATTTAATGTGTTTATACTTACTCTGGATAGTTTCGGTGATAAAAAGGTGGTTGAAGAATACCCGCTGGAAACACTGTAAAATATTGTATTGTATTGTACATATAAATCTATTTAAATGAATTTTATACAAGTATTGATTTAAAATTTTGCGTTGAAAGATATTTTGTCATTATTTTAAAGTCAACTTTAAAAAAATTTAAAAACTTCGGAAGTATTTGTTCTTTCCATTCAAGTTCATTCATCACTAATTTAGGATGTAGTATTTTTCACACTATCCGTTTAAGTGCTTATGTTTAATTGACTTTTAAAGAATCAAAATCTGGCGTTTATTTTGTTAATCCATCGTTCTAGAAGAAAATCTTACTGATCTGATTCGTTTGTGGATCATAGAATGCATTAACTGTTGCTGGTGGAGTGCTCCATCTATAAAAAAAAAGATATACAAAATTATGCATCAATACTGTGTCTTACAAATAAGCTTACAATAAACAATGTTCCCTGGTGTATGATCGTTATAAAATATCATCATTTCAATATCATTCTCTAAATTCTGTTTATGCGGCAACCAGTATGTTAAGAACTGGAAAATATTGTTTTTTTTTATTCTATCTCAAAACAAACAATTTAACGATAGAGCCATTAATTACTTTGGTTATGTGGGGAAACAATCGGCAAGTGCACGCGATACGAGTTTCGATATAACCGTCATCGAATACGCTGGATACCAATAGATAGAAGCTAGAGCTATATGAAATGTTTGCGAGTATTAACCTTTAGGCGGAAATATGTAAGCCTTCGATGTTGTTACTCTAGCTTTAGTGCAAAAGCATCACCAACATATATATTAGCTATATCACTATTACAACACTAGATAAAACAAGACTTAGAATGTCAAAATACGACAATGGTTTTACTTCACCTGGCCACGCATCACAAACACATTACATTGCCTTGAATTGCTACCTCTTTCTCAACCTTCCACAAACAAAATATATTTTCGGATGACAATGAATAGTTGTTACATATTCATCTATCTTTTCAATAATTAGCACATGACTTATCATTTCTTTAATTTAAAAGATGACAATAGAAGTCGATACGATTCCGGTGACGACGGTTTCTATTTGTCGGATAACTTTTAATTTTTCTTTGATACTTGGTAAACTCCTTAATTGATATGGTCGTTTTAGGATACTCACTTGTTTTTGTCAACTGGTTCCCTTAGGTCCTTTATGTTTTTAATAACACCATTAATCCATATACTAAGGGTGTTCTTGTAGAAGTCATCGCTAGTAACATGTATCTGAATAAAGCAATCAAAATGTCGCACACTGAAAATGTGTTTTATTCAATTGTAAAAATGCAACAATAATTTAAAAACATATAAATATATATGTTCAAAACTCGCAAATCTATGTTGAATGCTAAGTGGCAAAACCTGACCGCATCGCATTAACTCAAGACGGAGCTAGATCGAGATGGGTTGACAGGTTAAACCTGAATATACAAGGTACCTTTGTAGCTATCTCGCTTCTCAGGCCTGACTATTGCTTTGAGTGTATTGAGCCGTGTGCTGTAATGTAAAATACAATGTTCGCATGGTGTTATGTGTTTATCATTTAATTATATACGACTTGCAGAAGAAATATACAAATTGGTGTTTACCACGTCGTTTTATCTTAATGTAAAACATTGTTCTTACTTAAATAAACATTAGCTACGATTTAGACAAAAGATTTAAATATGATTTGTTTTTGTTGCAATCATTTCTGAACGCGGAACTCAAAAATAATATTTCGCTATTTGTAGTCAGTTTGGTTCATTTTCGTTAAAAACACAACAACAATGCCGATGTATTCCTTTTTATTTGAATCTATATTCATGCAACCTTTAACTTGACCCTTAATGGAGATGGGTCGCGCATGTGTTCAGTATGTGGTCAGCATGTTCATTTATCAAAAAGAAAAGAATGTGAACATTGAAAACAGACACAATGAAGCAACCAGGAACATTTCCGTTGACTGATCCGCCCCACATAAAGTCATTCTTATGCAAGTAAAACGATGATTTACATATGGTTTTAATATAAATAACATGAAATTTTATATTTTTATTCATTTCATATAGGTTTATAATGCATCAGCAGTCTTCGTAGGTAAATTCAAAAAGGGTAAGTCCATAAATCTGACAACATCAAACGTTAGATTTTATAAAAACCAACGGAACGAATGGAAAATAACTGTCATATTCCAAAAGGCTATGACACAAGGGTTTCAAAGAAGTGACCTCTCTTTTGCAATAAAATTATTTTGAAAGTAGGTAAAAAGGTTGAAAACTGTTACCGGCTAGTGCGATAGTAGCCCAACAATACATGTGTTTCTATTTGTACAGAATTGTAGATTACATAAACATTTTATTTACTCAGAACTTTTCCCCTCTCCCTTTAATAAATCTATCACATCCACAAGCCTTCAGTTGATATACATTCCAAACCTAACATTTGAAAACAGGATTTCAATTAGCCCCTTGATATCAGAGAGGTAAATGTTTTTTTTTTATTTTTATTTTAAGACGCCAGACAAAAACATTATGATGCTCTGCTAGCTAAAACAGTATTACTGATGATTTCTTCACCTAAATTTTTTTCAGGATATAGTCGGATGAATATTCATAATTATATAGATACGTCATAAATTATAGCTTGTTGTCAAACAGTTTAACAGTATTATAAATGTTAACAGAACATCGAATCTGATACCTTTACATGCATGAAAGTTTTTAATCAATATTCTTACTGGAATAAACAAAAAATCAGTTTTATACATCGTAGCAGAGCATACTTTGCAAGAGTGTAAAATGTTAACATTGGACCCTATTTTAAGCAGACTATCACTGTAGCTATATAGCTTTATTAGCCTTAAGTGTTTAATTGGTTATAAATGATCACATGTCCAATATGGAGCGGGAACTAATAGTTACATACCCTTTCGTATTCCTTGTTCACTTTCGATTCTAAATCTACCTCATCTGGGTATCCAATTCTTGGGTTTATATAATCAGCCTTGAAACAGAATGCATATAATGAATATAAATAGCCACATATATGATCATTATTATATTACTTTTCTTAGTTTTGTACTAATTTAAAAAAAAAAACTGTAAATTATCAGTTCCTTACTATTCAATTGTTAAACTATATACTAAAATATACGTTTTCTTAAAAATTTAAACCAGATAATATGAACAGAAGCCAATCACTTGTGAACAAAAGCTGTTTAGTTTCAAGGTATTGATGGTAATATAATGTGGTCCCTTAGAATGAGCTAGTACCAAATCAAGAGTATAAAAACTAGTCCTGATACTACTGCTGGGTTGTGTATTTTCTATTTTTCGTTTGATGTTGTGATTGTTTTTAGTATTTGGAATTGGTAGAGTTACATGTCTGATACACAATATTGAAAAACTACAAGATGAACTAGAAACATACCTTTTCTTTTGCTACAGTCTTGGTATCCATATCCATCCAGTCATTACTCTGTATAAGTTCTTTCATGGCCACGCGTAGTTGTTTTATCATGTTTTCAACCTAAACAGAAATAGAACTGTGATTGAATGAACTCATGCATACCCCCGCCACGCTACATTATTAGTATATGGAAGTAAGTACTTGAAAGTAAAATCGATTATATTTATTGATGCAAATATTCATGGTGTGTTCTTCAATTGAGTAAAATCACATCAATACCCGTTCAGCCGTTTAGAAGAAATGGCGCTGACAAGGCAAATGGACAAAGAAAAGGAAGAAAGAAATATGATTATCTCTTTTAACATCTTGGACTGGGATTATACGAGAAATTTAGTTTACAAGGCATATGGACAAACGGACAGACGGACTTGAAACAAATGCATGTGAGTGATGGGTGTACTTTTTTCCAGTCCATCGTCTATGCATAATAAACAAAGCATTCGAACTAGAAGTATGTACACAATATATTTGTTATCAACCATTATAGACTTAAATCCAATCTCACGGAATATATAATAAGTAGTCTACGGGTATAAGCTCCACACAAATCATTTATCGCCTGAGAACAGTCATTACTCTAGATGTGTTTTTCATTTCGTTATTTTAGTAATTTAATACAAAAAATGGGGATTTAACAAGCGGCGGTGGGTTATAAAAATCATCGTTAAAAACAGAATATGTACACTGTACACCATGAAAAGACGCAGAATAAGAATACAAATGCACTTTTCATTTTCTTTCATTGTCTGTTCGGAACTATTTATTATAGTTTTTTTCAGATATTTGGTCGCTTATTATTGAATTTTTCCACAGCTTTCCTTTACACTAGATGCGACTAAGAATATGCGCGCGTTGTGAACTTGTTCGTCGTTGATATGATGGGTACAATTGAGATGTCCCCCCCAATAATATAGAAATAAAAAGTTATTTTAGTGGTTAATGTCATGACAAGAAAAGACATAACACCAATGACTACTTTTTCTGACAGGCTCAGATTAACGATTTTTTTTTTACTTACATATTCAGTCTGAGGATATTGTTTTCAGTGTTAATAGATAAATATTTCATCACTTTGTAGAACTTTTTATCTTTTAATTCTATTAAAACTCATAAAATTCTGCAAAATGCACTTTAAAAAATGTTTAAACATTTGTAAAATCTCATGACTTATTGATATCATGTTGGATATACAAATTGACGTTCATTCCGGTATTTCTTTTCTCTGAAGCCCAATAAATGGTGTGTACTCATTTTATTAATTTTGATTTAACGCATATAGACTTACTATAATTGTAAAATTAATGCTACTTACATCAACTTTCGCTTCAGCACCAAAATATTTTTCAATGAAAAGATTTCCTACAGCTAATCCAAAGTTAGAGTTTGCTGCACCAGCACACGTTTTCCATCGTGGTTCCACCTGAGCGGTTCCTACTAGTGCCTAGAATAAAAGGTAATTAATCAAGGACCAATTTTTGGTTTTTTGTTAACAGTTATGCTGCAATAAAATTCATTAATTTGTGTTAAAAAAAAAAGAATGAACTTTTTTTACAATTTAATATACTCAAAATTTTAAAAAAAACACGTTTATATTTATTAAGTGGATATTGGAAATACTTACTGGTATTTGGAACTAAAAAGAGATCAACCAAATGAATAGAATTTAATATTTACAAAATGAGTAGGTTAGTAGCATAATGTTTGCATTGTTTTTTTAGACTGAAAAGGCAGCATTTAAAAAATATGACTTACCTTGCGGTATTTTGTCTGAATATCACGGATACGTTCTGGCAGGGCGTTAGGTAACCGTTTGACATATCGCCATACAATGTAGTTTGCGATGGTTCTAGGTAAGAACAATAAACATATTACTACAATGTAATGATCGTGTTAAAAAAAGTATAACATACCAAAGGTAAATTCTAAAAGGGGAAGTCCATAAAAACTGACAAAATCAAACGTTATCAACCAATGGAACGATGGAAAACAACTGTCCTAACTTGAAACAGGCATTTTCCGAAGAAAATGGTGGGTTAAATCTGTCTTTATAGCTAGCTTATCCTCCCACTGCCATGTTAAAAATGTAATTATTAAAAATACTCCAAATAAAAAAGCCAAAAGACGATTCCCATGACACTCAAAAATAGTAAGTCGAAATTCGAAAACCCCATGGTTAAAAGAAAAGACAATATAGAAAAAGCAAAAATCGATACAACGGTATGCACAGAAAAATTAAAATTTGAACGATACGAATGTACTAGGAGTGAAGTCATGAACTACGGACATGGATGATTACCAATAGCAATTTTGAGCTTGCTTTAAGTAAATCAGTGTATATGTACACACACAAATTACAGGTATGCTACACATCACAAAACAAAATAATTAAGATCTTTTAAGTCTTTCGATTTATCCGTGTACCATTTTGTTAAAATTCTCTAATGAAATTAGCATTATTGTATTCCTGATTGAAAATTCGTGCAATAATATTTCGGATTATTAAAGACGAATTCATATTTACCTTTTTGGTGTTGCTGTTAATATACCGGACAAAAGGCGTAAATATTCTGGGTTTCTGTTGATTATTTTTTCTCCTGAACCTAATGCTATATTTAAATCATTAATCTTTAACAGATTTGTAAAATATTTCATCCAGTCAATCTGTAAAAGATAATAGAGTTCGCTTTAAGCAGTGTTAGAAACCAATAGTTACAGCTTTTTGAAGTTCACTGAAAACTACAATTGTTTGTTTTCAAATGCGTTTCTATTTAATTTTCTGTAATGCAATATCTTAAAAAGTTTATGATTTACTCGGGACCGAAAATGATTTAAAGGTTTCATTGAAAGCTACATGTTAAAGTGCGATGTGACATTTATTTATTGGTTAAAAAGCAATTAGATTCCGAAACTGTACAGCACCTACAATGTATCAAGTTGACGTTTTTTTTTTCTGGATAGATTGATATGTGTAAAGGTGCGTTTACACAGTACGATTTTACTTTCCATTTTCATTTGATTTTTAACTGTGCACCTGCTTTCGACTAAAATCGCACCGTGTGAATACTAAAATCGGATGTCGTTTAGTTAACGTAACGTGTAAACAGGACGCTGTACGATTTACCTGGGCATCAAATCGGATTGAAAATCGAATGGAAAACCGTATCCTGTGTTTGGAACTAGATTTAGAATAAAAGATATTTTTTCTTTTCCTTCTAGTAGTGTAGATTGCTCATCTAATTTCCGTTCTACATGTGAAGGCTTTCGGAATCGAATTGCATACTAAATAGTCGGCGCCTACACGTACAGAAAAACCTCAATAACAAAATCATTTTGAATCCGTTAAGTAGCCACATACCGCTGGGGACGAATTCGTTATACTTTGTATAGTCTGCAAGTTGTACATTTTATCTTCATCCCGTCGTTCTGCTGATGGTAATGAAATCTGAAAAAAAAAGAATTATGGACATAATCTCATGGCAATTTATATGATAACATTTAAACAATTTTTATGAATGTCGAAAGGCATCATAAATCGTAAATGTTTTATATCTGTAATGAAATAGTAATTATTTCTGTTCTGTTCTTTACTACAATTCTAGATTTTAAAAAAAACATCTTTTCAAACATATAAGCTTTTTGTACATTTCCAATATACAAAGAAATATAAATATGTTATTGAAAATACTTGAAGCATTCTGAAATTCTGGTATGCATTTTTCTTTCAAATGTAGTTCGTATGGTTTTGATAATTGTGTTTTTTTTTATTGTTCCTGTTCTTATTTTAACAAATAAATCAAATCTCACATTCGCAAGTTTAATTTCAAAGTCGACCATATCTTTCATGTCATTTCTGGCCTGCGCTTCGTCAGCACCAAACATAACAGCCACTTCTGTAGCAAAGGTTTCATAGGCCAGTAACGTTTTATCATCTCTTCCCTTTAAATAATACTCTCTGTTAGGCATCCCGAACCCTGGTTGGTCAACCTATATAACAAACAGTAATAGTTGAGAATCAATTAAAAAGTAAAACACAAATCAAGAATAAATATACTAAGTTTCGTGGGAACAGCAAATTAAACTATGTCTCGTTAGAACAGCAAACTATGTATTCAATTTGTAATTAAATTGTGGACAAAGTTGACATATTTTCTTTTCTGAAACTCACAGGGTTTCAACTGTTTAGGTTTGAGCGTTCCAGAATAGCGGTTTGGAAGCACGAAATATATGAAAGTGTGATTTTCATTTACTTAAGTTTTTGACGATGAATGAGACTCAAAATCGATTTAACTTCACACACAACTCGAAAGACATATCATTTTTCTATATAGTAATGCTTCATTTTTTTCTTTTCAACATTAATCTTAACAATATTCGCTAGCTTACAAATAACAATAATTTTTATTAGAAATTGAATAACATACAAACACATGAACAAAGAAACACACACACATAAAAGTTTGTAATGAATATATGCATGTCAATCTTGCAGCTGTCATTTTAGAGTCAATTACAGATCCTTGATAGTTTTAACTAATTCATTGATATCTTTTCTTAAACTCTCAACGATTTATGGGCTTGATATATTGTACAGGCACCTGTCTATTACCGAAGACTATGTTGATCTCTTGCTGGATTTGTGGTTTCTGAATTCGATAAGTTGCTGTCTAATTGGCACATAACCGCCATATCCTTTCCTCATATGACAAGGGCTAGACGAAGAGTATGTGAAAACTTGGCTACGTTAAACACAGTTGCAAGGAGTCTTTGACTGCATGATCTATATATAAGGAAAGTATTACTCACATACAGAATACGAGCATCTGGATTTTTAGAATCAGTGTAAGCATATGAATCAAATATTGGAGGACTGTTGGTGTACTTTCTGGTTGTGAGTAAAACATCTACCAAATCAAATGAAGATTCAGACCAGCTTGTTGATACGACAGGCCATCCTCCTAATTCATTTACTGTAACCATTGGGTCTGTTAGATTCATCTCTTCAATGGCAGCTAAATTTGAGGTTTAAATAAATACGTATTTTAGAATTTCAGGATTCATTGCTTACGTGTAAAGATAATGGGCGGTTGAGCATAGGGCTCGGAAATACTAGTACTTGTAAATAAACTTTTTAATCAATCTATCCCGTTGTTGTATAATTTAGTACATATATTTATGAATGATTTGGTAAGGTTTACTGATTATTTTTACACTTGGTTATTTTAATGTACTTTCATCATTCCGACCGTTAAACAGTATGAATTAAGACAACAGTAGTTTACTGGTGTTTAAATCTCGTAAATCCATTAGGATGAAACAAATCAAGGTAACAAACACAAACTGAGGGAAGCCCAAGAACTCAAAACCGAGCGATACTGGGTGTGCCGACATGGCAAGCGTCACCTGCTATGCGTACAATACCCGCCGTTCGAATACACATTCAGTCAAAAGGTCACAATCGGGAATAAGGCGCAATCGATAAAAAAACTGGGGAGAGGATATGAACTTTTCAAGATTTCGTGCGGAATAAAAGAAAATGTTTTTTTCTCTGAAATTGAACTCGTATTGTTTTTATGTTTTTGCAGATACCTTATAAACGCTGCAAATGTTTGCAAAAAAATAGAACCAATTTTCCGACCTTTAATGAGCCCGAGTGTAAAAAATTGTGATTGACACTTGATTGACATTACACAAATGTATATGGAACTGTTCCAGTTGCAGTTAAAAAGTAGTCTTTGTTCTAGAGATTAAATCTCAGTTTCATTTGCAGACCCTTCATTATATAACTAAAACTGTATAAACTAGTTGACTAAAACATTCAATTAAAGATGTTTTCATTATTTTTACATTCATGCTACTTTTTCATTCTTTAAAATGTATGACAGATATTTTTAGTTCAGCGGGTACAAAATTTGAATATTTAATCCTTGCTGTGCCATTTTATTTCAAATTAAGGAGAATCAAAAAGCCCAAAGAAAAAAAAAGGAAATTATGAATCAAAATTTATAAAAGAAATCTTAGACAAAGTCATAGACAACAATTAGTAGGTACGCAAACCAAAAATAAATTCAGAATCTTTACAAAAGCATATGATGATCTAAGATGTCTGTAGATAAACTTTTTCTTGTAAACTTGTACAAAAAATGGCATATGTTCTAATGTATCTTTACAATGAACTTACTAAGATTAACACAAGATTTGTAATAATTTTTAGCTTTAGTAATTGCTACCCATTCTCCAACAGCAATCGGTTCTTCTAACACAGCTGGAATTACAAGAAAAAAATTATAGAAGCAAATTTCCATTAATGAAATATCAATTCAAATCTGCAAAAAAAAACAATTTCTATCGATTCTTTGCTATATTCATGAATTTCGATGACAGATGTTGAAAACCCAATAAGTATAATACCGATAAAGTAGTAACCTATCTATATGTTGATTATCTATATTCAAGAAATCCAAAACGAGTTTCCTATTGCGTATTAACGTATGCAGTAAAACTTGGTTTGAAAATTTTGAATATCAAATTGGAATTTCTAGTAAGTATGTAATGTTTTCTCTTATTTTTTGTTTTATCTTTGTATCTTTTTATATCAGAAATTAAATGCTTTATATTTGCAATTTTTATAAGGCCGGTATTAAAGCGTTAACCGGAGCATATTTCGTAACGAGCGTGTTGTGCTTAATGTTGTATGCACGGTCAATCAGCTCTATAAAATTACAAAAATAAGATTATATTTACATTTAAATACTAAAAACAGAAAACTATCAGAGTTGAATCCAGGTTTTATTTGTTCTGTTTTAAAGATTCATACGCACTGTAGTAATTTTGTTATGGAACTGGGGTAGATGTTGCTTTTTATTGAAAAATAAACAATAATGTGTAGCCCACGTGTCTGATTGTTATCTCACAATCAAAATAGCGGAATCGTTCTGAAACTATGGTATACTTATGAAAGTATTTCATCTCTCCTGAATTATATTACTCGTTAGATATAATTAAATACCTTTCAGTTTTACATCAACGTCGTCCCTGAGTGTGTAAAAAGTTCCTAAGACGGCTTTGTCTTCCGGAATAACATGAGATCTTGTCCATCCTCCGCATGCGTATTCAAAGAAATCTGCACAAGGATCGACTGACATGTCCATGGATTTCATCATATTAGAAGCTAATGTAGAAAGATAATAGTGGCATCTGTTTGAAACTGTGACTAATATTTAATAAAATTGAGAATGGAAACGGGGAATGTGTCAAAGAGACAACAACCCGACTTAAGAGCAGAAAACAGCCCAAGGCTACCAATATTGGGTCTTCAAGACAGCGAGAAAATCCCGCACCCGGAAGCGGGCTTCAGCTATCCCCTAAACAAAAATGTGTACTAGTTCAGCGAGAATGGAAAGGCTCCTAACTTGGGACAGGCGTACAAATGCGGCGGGGTTAAACATGTTTTGTGAGATCTCAACCCTCCTCCTATACCTCTAGCCAATGTAGAATAAACAAACACAGCAATACGCACTGTAAAACTCAGTTTAAAACTCAGTTTAAAAGTCCGAGTCCGATGTTAGAATAGGTAACAGAAGAAACTAAGCAAAATGACAATGATAATCTATATAGTAGGGATCATAGCAAAATGCAGTTATTGACTTTGTTTCAGGTTGACAACTTGTGTGTTTGACCCGAAGACTGAACTGTAGCCTGAAACCGAAGGCTGGTGGCATCTTTTCAGTGTGTGAGTCAAACAACAGCTGTTGAACGAAAATCCAGTCTTTAACTCTTACTATTGTACCATCAGCCTCAAAGTACTCAATATATGCTTATGCAACTCATTCCATCTATTAATATAAAGTAGGTGGGAAGAATAACTCCGATCTTTAACATATTTTAATAGATTTGGAGGCTGCAATCTAGGCGGGCCCGTTGATCAGTGGATGAAGGCTCCAATTTAGGCGGGCCCGTTGGTCAGAGGATATTTTCATTTGCTTCGTGATTCAATAGTAAAATTACAACAATAATACGGTTTTGCTAACGAACAGATCAGAATCGGTTACCAGTGTCTGTCAATGAATTGTTCTCACAGTCACCTGACTATTCTTCTATCTTTCAGCGACTCTTTTAAGTCACAGGTGTACATGTGATATACTGTGGATTCATTAATATTCGTGGGAGACAAATTTTCCGTGGATATATGTGAACCACGAATTTAATGTTCAACGAGGTATACATTTTCTATTGGCCTTTACGCAGACTTTGGTAAAACCATCAAATCAAATATACACGAAGATGCAGTTTTTCTTCAATCCACGAAAATTGGTACTCATGACAAAAATGAATCCGCAGTATACAGTGACTGAAGTGACCAAGTTAGAGACAACAAGACTTGTGAAACCCCATACTTATATTGACCTTTACATGTGTGTGAATAAACAGATATGCGAGGTGTGTGTCCATGAATCAGCACACAATAGACAACAATAACCGAAAGACGCAGAGAGGGCAACCTATAGCCTTCAACAAAGATGTTTACACAATATGTCCAGCTCTAAATCGTTATAAAATCTGTGAATAAATTAAACATAAAGTCAATGGTCTTTCATCAAAATCAAATTCTGTAAATATACAATGTCAATAAGATATGCCACAAGGCAGCTACTGACAATGTTTCTGACTTGGGACAGGCATATGAAATTGTGGCGAGGTTAGACGACTTTTTTTTAAATCTCGATCCCTCTATTACTTAAAACATTGTGCTGTTGTTTAATTATGGTATATTTGACACATATCCAAGATTTCCTTTTATTTAACCGCATAAAAATATAGGGAATATAGTCTAAAAAATTACCAAACTACCAGATTCTCTTTTCAGTGTAGTGCATGGATTATTTTCTATTCCTCTCTTTGCAAAGTTCCCAGAAATATCTATGTTTTAAGAAAACGTTTGTCCAGTTTTAATGGCGTATATTCTGCAGCGTTCGACGGACCTTTTTAAATTGAGAAAAATAGGACAGAAAACGCATCATAAAGAAAATAGAAAAAAAATATTTTGTATTTAAAATGATTATCAGAATCTCTGCAGTTTTTACCACAAAATGTCAACTACTAATCATAGCTTACCTGCTTTTACGCAGTCTGGTGTGGTACAAAGTTCTGTAATGAAACAATTATTCTGAATGAAATCATAAGGGTATAAAATCGTTATTGAATCATTGTCAAACATTTTTCCACGAAAATACATAAAACAAAAAAGGATAATGATTAGGCTAGCCTCTTTACTCGAAAATTAAACACTAGTAGTATTTCAATCCACCAGATAACATCTGCCAGTGTTTATAAGACATTAGGCCATCAGAAAACAAACACAAACAATGCCATTATATGAGGGGTGGTAGGAAGGGGGTGTCATCCCGAATTCCCGCAAAAATAAAGGCCTAATCCCGACGTCCCGAAAAAGGTCCTTCCATCCCTCTTATATCTGTTCCTGCTGGAACAATTTTTCTATACCGTTTTTTCCGTTAGGAACAAATACTGTAATATTTGTTCTGGTGGAAATAATATTCCAAAATATTTCTGCCATTTGGAACTTAGAATATGAAGGAACTTCTATTTTATGACAGTATCTACCATGTATAGTGGTTTAATGTGTATAACAAATTTGTCTGTATTTTGCTTTCGAACTTCTTGCATTTAAATTCAATTATTTTATTGGACAAAGCAATATATGATAATGCGTAATCAAAGTGTTCAATATATAATACAACATGACAAATAATGTATATAAAACATAATTACACAACTAGTTAAATTATCCATATGCTAAAACTACAAGACTATTTTAATGGGGAAAAACTATTCATTGATATTAAGATATATGCAACCCCATTATTAAAAGATATTTGGCGACACCATGTGTTATACAAAGATATTGATGGAGGGTAAACTATTTATTTTTAGTCAGCCTGTTGCTCATTTTGGAATCAAACATAAAGTATAAAATTGTTATTTTAAGTTATGATAATTCATATACTATTTTATTTAATTTGATTTGTATGTGTCTATATATAAAGTCGATACTTTAATTAATATAAACAACATAATTATACACCCTTTATATAAGTTAAGACGGACAAAAACGGTTGATCTGCGAAGTATTCCATCTTCATGCTAGCATACATACTGTTGTTGTGTTACAACCCTAGACCAAGCCGTCGAGGAAGGCGTCACCCGACTGATGGAGCAATATAGCCTAGTTGGTCGAGTGGTCTTGGGCGTTGGGAGCAGTGCATGCGTAGTTGCCACACCACAGTACCAAAGAAGCATGGGATCAACCTCCGCTAAGGAGAGCACAAAATTTTTTTAAAGTCCCCACCATGAAGAAGGAAAATAAATTCAAAAGACATGTCTTTCCTGCCCAAAAAATATATTTTCTTTATTGTAAGGGGAAGCGTTGGCTGACTCCATACCTCTCCAGGTCAAAAAAGAAAATTGTTCACGTTAAGACGTATTAAAAATGCCACACTTGACTCCTAGATATCATCTTGAACCATTCAAATGTATGCTTAATCATGAGTTTTGCGATTAATCATGTAAGGAAACAACTATTAATATTATCAGTGTTTTATTTAATGGATAGGGGTATAATATTAAGAAGACTTTCGCGAAAAACCTCAAAAAACTGAAAGACATCAAACCATGATTATTCCCTATTATTGTCATTCTCCATGTCCAAAACACAAACAGAAGATGGTCATTCATCACTCACATAGATAAAACATTTAACATTGATATGAAGTTTGAAGCCAAAAATTATGACACAATATATAGTTAAAGATATGACATCTAAATCAAGTGTTAGACACTTCTGTTGAATAATCAGATACTGATTTAGAGTATATTCATCAAATTAGCTATAATTTGTTCATGTTTGAAATACAGAACAGCTAAAATCTTGCAAATGACCTGTCCCTTAGGAAGGACAAAAATATCCTGTTTTCCCACGTGAGTTGAGCAAAACTGAAAAGCAATATATCAAAATTCCGAAATAAACAAAGGTTGACGTACCATCATCTAAATAATATTTCTTATCAATCATAAAATAATATCATTTCTGAGTATTTTGTGAAATCAATGATATTTTAAATACTCAGATCGGTGAAACGTACTTTAACAATCTACGCAATTGCATGTGTATCAAACAAACCATGTCAGACGAAGTATGTTTCGGTCCATAAATTGGTCTTTGGATCCTATCCATTATGCACTTAATCATTGCATCTTCTCTGACATTGTCATATATCCACACTAAAATGTTGTTTTAAGTATGGATATTAAAATAAGGGGTTGTAACAGAGTTGGTAAATTCACTCGAAACTAGGTGAGACATACGCAGTAGTGATAGATAAGTGGTATAAACATAGAAAAGTGAATATTTTAATCAATAATAATTAATAAAAATTAAACACAAAAAGGGGGGGGGTCTACCCCACAAGTGCTTGTGAACATTTTGACATATTTTTTTCTTCTAAATAGTTATAAGGCTTTAAAGTTATTTTGAATGTCTTCGTATGCATTATTGCTGGACCAAGTATGCTTTTTGTCTAGTTAACTCCCTTAAAAAATACTTTTTTTTACTGTTATAATCAGTGTTTTACACTACAAAAGTTTTGCCATCGTTAGAGGTTGACAGGTATGATGAAAAAATATTTGCAACATAAATCTTTTTTTTTAGTTGGTACAAAAAACTATAGGTTTTCTTTTTTTATTATAAACTGATAGATTTGTTTATCTGAAACTTGAATACCCAATTAGAAACACATAGCAAACATACAATCCGACAACAATATTTTTATAAATTATTTCAAATCATCAAAATTCTGCATTCATAATTGTTTGAACATTGTCGGTGCACACGAATAATCCTATGTGTGATGTACATTTCATCATGCTTTCAACAATAACTAACAACCACATTGTATCGTAAGATATAAATCACTTTCGGAAACTTTTAAACGTCTTTCATCTATATTATGAAAACCTTCTTAGAATCGGTATATTTTTATGCATTTCTATCTATGCAAATACACTTTAAACATGATAACATCTTTTAAGTTTTAAGTACGTTTGTAGACACACATTAGAGATTTCCAATAAAATGACATACGTACGTAACTCGACGTACGGACCTAATGGGACTGGTTATTGCCAACCATTAAATTTGATTAAATACGTTGCCCAAGTTTAAACAAAATATTCCAAGACTTTTAAAATCACACACTGGAATTTTCGTCTGTATAAAATAATTTTATCATGACGAAAAATGATAGAAATCTTGCATTTTTATTTATAACGTGGTTTTCCAGATTCCCGCCTTTATTTTCACTGACATAAGATCGCGTATAAACACACGTATCCCATACCTATCATACGTACGATTTGAGTTATCTTTCATGGTTTTGATTATAACAATTATTTTTCAATATACTTTGCAGATGAACGCCCCATTATACTTGTTTTCTGTCTTTCGTTATAGTTTATCTATTTGTTTTATTATATTTGTTGCGGGGAAAATATTTAGAAGGATATTTTTCTGACAATTTCAGATATATCGAAACCAGAGTTTGTCAGAATCTGTCTCTTTATAAAAGTTGAAAATTGAGTTAAAACCATCGCTTCCATTTAATTTCTTAACAAAAATATTTTTCATTTATTATAAAATTTATTGATAAAAAAAAATCCCTATATATATGTTGTTTTTTTAGAATTAAGGTGTGTTCGATTAGGGATTGTTCTGTATAATTTGTTTAACGGGAATGCTATCGGAGTTCAAACACAAAAGACATTTCCAGGCAAATTTTTTTTATATCCCTTGAAGTTAATTAACTTACAGTATTGTATCCATTTTATTGGTGAAAAATTAAAAGGGGGTCACCGAATTCATTTTACTGAATAAATCGTTAACGGAAATTAGTAAGGTAAGTAACATTTAACAACATTATATAATAAGATTTCGTTGCCAGATGCGGATCCAGGATTTTGAAGAAAAAAAAGGGGGGATATAGGCAACGTAAGAAGTGGAACAAAAAATAGAAGTATTAATAGGATGTGGGGCCATATACATATGTGTTCGTTGCATATGTATTTTACATATGCATAAAGAGGTTAAACTCCTAACTATCCTACTGTCTGTCGATACATTTATTTTTGGCATTGCACAAGTCATGTCTTCTTTGACTGTCCATGACGTTAAAATACTAAATCCCTGGGATGTGTTCTAGTTGATTTTAGTCTCTGATGCATGATTTTTTATTATTAATTGTTTTGGCTTTTAACTAGCTGTCAGTTACTGCGAGTACTCTCAAATCGTACTTTCTTGTTTATTTGACCTGTTGATACTAATTGTAATGCTTTTTTGTTATTTAATGTTATTTAGGGTTATATCTGGTCTATATACCAGCTTTGATAAGTGTTTGGTACTACTATAAATTTTCACTTCGTACTATGAACATCAAAATTATTTATTTTGTAAAAATATTTCCTTTCTCTATTGGAACTGTTCACGTATACCTAACAACAAAATTATTTTCATTTACCTGTGTTTAAAGTAATTGCAAATGGCTGATATTTTTGTTCGAGCATATTGTTTTTCTTAAATTGTTTAACATTTCATACCGATATAACATGTTACTTTTATTATTCTTCCCTTAGTTTATTTATTTTGTATTTGCATTGTATCATAGGTCAAATTTATTTGTTCAGTTATGTTCACTCGTGTTAATATGTCCGTTGATTGAGTTAAGCTATTTCAGTTGATATTTTATAGTGTGTCTTTCTATGTTGTGATGTTACACTATTGTTTCAGAAAAAGGGTGAAGGTTTGGTACCATTAAAACGTTTAAACCCGCTGCATTTATTTGCACCTGTCCTAAGTCAGGAATCTGATGTTCAGTAGTTGTCGTTTGTTGATGTGTCTCATAAGTGTTTCTCGTTTCTCGTTTTTTATATAGATTAGACCGTTGGTTTTCCCGTTTGAATGGTTTTACACTAGTAATTGTTGGGGCCCTTTATAGCTTACTGTTCGGTGTGAGCCAAGGCTCCGTGTTGAAGACCGTACTTTGACCTATAATGGTTTAATTTTATAAATTTTGACTTGGATTGAGAGTTGTCTCATTGGCACTCAAACCACATCTTCTTATATCTATATTGAGGACGTGAAGATGAATATGAACCAGACTTTGTATTATACCGCAGGAAGACATGTCATCCTACCTGGACACATGATTTTGACCCCGGACCGACCAATCTTTGCTCTAATTCTTAATATTGCGTGCTTGGCAGAGAGGCAGCCAATCTTCGATTTGAAATGGGCGAGGATCGAGCCCAAGACTTCCGGTCGCACCCGAGCAGTGGTGTAGCTTTCATTGACGCAATGTGGCAACCGCCTCACCAAATTTTGACCATTAAAAAAAGAGATAAAAGAGAATTATATACCATGTATGTCATAGTATAAAGTATATTGAGTGACGACGGTTCAAAACGTTGACTGCTTTACTCTTTACTCACTCATTCCTCATTATTAATGTCTTGAAAACTTTCTTTCATAAAATGAACAAGGTAGATGCAAATATCTTTTTTAAGTAACAGACAAAGTATACCTCGCAAAAAACTGATTCAAACAAGAGGTCATAACTATGAAACGGATATCATGTTTGATTTTTTTTTACAACGAACTTGTTACTTTTGGTGGACAAAGTTTTCTACGGATACTTGGCACTCTTCTAGTACTCTTCTACCTTGGTTAATATAAGCAAGACTTCATAGTTCACCCAGTTATTATCATCCATACATTTTGACAAAAGCTAAACGTATAAAATAAAAGACATAGTGGATCTTAAACTTAATATCCCCAAATCTGTACAAAAGCATTTTAGAGGAGGTCATACATATAATTCTGTCAATTATTTTTGCTTTGGTCAGGACCTGTCTGTAACTGAATACTGAGAATTAAACCTTTAACCAGCAGTTTCACTGAAATATATTGATTTAATGCGCACTAGAAATATTATTTCATGATAAAATTCCAAACTCTGGATTTTTCATAGACAGGATCTTTTTGCCAGTGTGTGACCTATCAAGAGTATGATCACCTACACCTATTTTGCGATTCATATTTTCTATTAACCGTCCACTCCCTATTGGCATTGACGTCTTTTAACCAAGGTGAGGACTGCAAAGATTCAAATCATTTGCCTCACCAGAAATAAAATTCAAATTACGCTACTGTCGATTGATTGATAGCTGATTGCTTAACGTCCAGTGGCAAATATTTCATGCATAATTAACGTGTAGAAAGCGTGACATTCTCTCTACAAGAGGCATCGGATTTAACGTCCCCACTCTAACCGGACGGGACTGCGTACTTGTACACCCCGCACAACAAACGGACTCCCCGCTTTGGCAATGGTTTAACTGCCGATCGGAACAAGACCAATAGTGACAATATTTCTATCCCCCCGACCACCTTTGAGGGATTACTGTCGATGCGAGCGCGACCAAAGAGACAGTTATGGATATGGAAGATACATATACATGTACGTGTATTAATCAAAACATTTGCAACAATAATGTGTGGCCTCTGCGCCCCTTCACATGATCATATTTCCATGTTCAGTGCACCACTTAATCCGAGTCAAACTCTAATTTGGTATATAATTTTAAACGTTTTATATTTTGAACAGAACGGAAGAACGGACGGATGCAGACCAGTAAATATAATGTCCTCTTGCTATCATAAGTTGGTCATAAAACTAAAATGATCATCCTACTTAACAAAACTTCAATCAAATATTCCGTACATGTCCGTTTTTCATACATAGTTTTATAAGTTAAACGCCAAATATTTTAGAAAAACAAATTAAGAGCAATGACGTTAAATTACGCATACGTTTGTATGGGCTCTTCCTAGAATCCATGCATCATTATAATTAAAGACAAGATATAAAAAAAAATAACTGATTCAGTAAAGTGTAATCATATTTTTCTTGAAGATGCGTCTTCATAAATTCAATTTGATAAAATTCTAGTGACAAAGTACTATCAGAAAGATGCATCAGTGATCTGAATTTTTACCTTTGACAAAAGTATCTTGAAATAAATTATAGAAGTATGATAAAAAAAGAAGAAGAAGAAGCAAGTCGTGTACACCTTTTACATTCCGGCGTGTTTGAAACTCTTGTTTTAATCTTATAAATTTTAAATAAAAAATGAGAATATGATCTCGCTTCAGATTCCATTATTTTAATTTTTTCAAACTTAATTCTGATTTAAAAGCTTGAAGAATTCATTGTTTCTTTGAGAGATAAATATACGGGTCAAGTGAAATGACGAAGTAATGATCGGTGCATTTGATTACCGGTAACTGAATTAATTATTCCCTTTAGGTTAAAGGTTGTTGTTAATGAAATCATCCCAAATTTAATAACAAAATATGTAAAGAATTAAAATAGTAGTTTGTGCTTATTTTTAAATAGCATCTATTCCAACAAAGTATGTGAAATCAACGAGCAAAAAATGCATGCAGTCTATGCTACCCTCCGTCATCTTTCAATGCAATAGGCCGAGATACGGTTAGATAGGTTGGTTATGTCGAGTAATGTCATATTATTGGAAATCTCTAATAACCGCTCCTATTACATGATTATGTTCTTTCGTAGAGATATGTTCGTTCGTCAATATCCTGGTCATCTCTAATGACACCAATCGTGTACAAATGCTTGTGATTCAACAGAGAAATAATTTGAATGAAACTCAAAGAGAGGATCGGGGAAATATCTGAATAAAGGAATTTTATATCCTACACCCAGATTGAGTTAACAGAAATAAATGTCTGTTGTATTTCAAGATGACTTGATCTGTTAGTACTGTTGGATGTATAAATATATATTTTGGGATAAATACATACGTTTCGTAGCACAAACCTGTAGACTTTGTAAAGTTATGAATATAATTGAAAACATCGTTGAAGCCATATATGTTATGGAAAATTCAAATTATGACATACCGTTTGAACTTCCTGTATTGCCTGTATCCGGACAATTACCACTTCCGTCTCCGGTTTGAGACCCAGATCCAGGTTCTGGAGTAGCTTTAGGAATTTCATTTTTATCGTCAATCTTTTTTGTTACAACAATCGCTAGGGTTACAGCTAATGCAATTATGGCAAGGAGGCAAACGAAGAGAGAGCATAATATAGCACGAGTGGCGCTCTTTCCCGCTTTTCCATTACTTTTACCACTGAAAATAAATCAACATTGTGTATGTCAGTAAGGAAGACTTAATAATATAACACAGATAGTTGGTATGTAGGACAACATATATCATATTGTAAAATAAGACTGCTTATTGATAAAGCACATGACACTTTGATATTCTATTTCCTTAATTAACAAAGAATGAACAAATTATGAAGTTATACTATGTGACTATCACCAAATTCAAATTTAGTTTTTAATTGTCGTGCTCAACACGAATGATGTCACTAGTGGCGCAGGTTCTGCTCGCCCTTCCGAAGCACGTGAGACGTGCCAGAATTAGTTTCCATTCTCTAGTTTAGTTTGCCTCAATCAAATGTTATAAAACTTATACACAATGCTTATTACTAAAAGACACAGATCAAGTTTGCACGTGGTGCCGTCACTTTTACCGTTCTAGAGTTAAGCCCCTTTACAAATGGAAAAATTGCTGATTTTTTCGTTCCCGTTCTCTAACTTAAGTTTACCTCAACCAAATGTAATGAAACTTATATGCAATGCTTATTACCACAAAACTCAGATCAATTTTGAATTTGAGTGGCGTCAGTTTTACCGTTATTGAGTTATGTCCCTTTATATCGTTATGCAAGCGGGGTCATCATCTGTGTACCATGGACACATTTTCCATTTTTTTTGGTCATGGTTTTGGCTGGTATTCATTGATTAATAGTTTTTCACTGTCCCTTGTGTTATGTTTACATACAATAAAACCGGATTATAAATAACGAAACAAATTTTCCTTTTGAACCTCTTCTAATGGCGGAATAAGCAAAGATGATCATAAAAAAAGGAGAACCAATTGAATGCTTCGCTTCACAACTACAATGAATAGCATTTAAAAGACGAAAATACAAATTAAAATTATGTGCATTGCTCTAGCTAATAATACGTTAGATCGACATTTTTAGTGTTAATCTAAAGTACTTTAAAAATAAATATATATAGCAATAGCTTTCTTTGTTCATCGAATAAAACTTATATGATGCTTGTACAATATGGATATTTTTCTATTCATGTATAATGTTTTAAAAAATATTCAATTATTAATTGATGCGGATTAGAATTTGCACTTCTGAAAAGACTAGTGCCTACAATTCGGAAATAATTTGAAGCAAAATCATAAAAAAAACCAATGAAACTATGTTATAAAAAGTGTAAATTTGAGAGAAAAAAAGTTTACCATGAATGATAACGAACTCCATTTCCATTTTGCATTGTAACTGCGTACTTCCAAGTTTGTCAGAATAAAAAGATTCCGATTTTTCTCTCGAAAGTAAACAATTAATTAGCCTCTTCCTCATGGTGAAATAGACTCTTTGATGACATGTATATATCTGTATCCAGATATCATTGTTTATTCACTTTCTTTAATCTTTGATAAACAAAACGTCAAAAATTCCAAGGAAAATTCAGTCTCTTAATTTCATTTAAAATTTCATTCACGTTTTATCATTTCAAAATTATATCTTACTTGGATTAATGACAAATTTGTGATTTCTATTTTTCCAATTGTATTGTATATATTCGGATTAATGATGTTTTTTCTTTAATGACAAAAGCTAAGGTGTAGAAATCATAACGTTTCATTAGATTTTGTTTTTATGACTTTATTTCTGATATATGTATATACATTTTGATACAATAACACAACAAATGAAACGAAAATAAATCTTTAATCGATAAAGAATGAATTGGAGTTCAAAGTGCTTGAATTTTCTGTATGAAAAGATTTAAACTTTTATGGTTGCTTCCTCTTGCACTTAATACCTTTCGTCAGTATAATTCAACTTCACATTCAGATGACGCAATTTACTCGGGATATGGTTATGGAAAAATGAATGCGGACATACTGACATGAGTTTGAATCAATTAAAGTGTAGTCGCGTGCATAATTCAGATTAGTATGAGGTTCAAGCTTAAGTCTAGTGCATGGTTTAGATTTGTATGAAGTGCAAAATTAATTCGCCTTTTCAGAAATTTCATTTGTTTGTACCCCAAAATGAAAATAACGTCACTTCATTTGACAAGTTTCCATTGTAAGCCCATCACAACGTTTTGGTGTACGCTTTGAAATAATGTATTACCCAGAATGCATAAGATTCTGAAACGGTCGCAATTCACACCATCGGCAAAATTTAAGCTGTGAATTAAATAAAAGAAGAATGTGACCGAGGACACGAAGGCCCCCGCTCAAGCTTTGCAACGAAAATGGGACAGATGGAAAGACGGAAGGACGGACGGTCAAGGGTAACACTTAATGGCCCCGTCGCCCACGGCTGGGGCATAAAAAAGTACACTTTGGGAGGAGATAGTTGCATTTTAATAGGGTCACTTATTCCCTAAAGTATTTCGAATAAAATCAACTGGTTTTATACAAGATTACAAAAACATCAAACGTTGAATGTCAGACGAACGAAACCAGCAGTGATGACAGTGTTAAATTAGACCCTTTGGTTAGTATAATAATAAAGAGAAGAAACTTCAAATAGAACAATTCTATCGATTTTTCATATTATATAGTTTACTAGTTGAACAACCTACATTTAAGCTTTGTTTACTTTTAAATGTTAACCGCTAACATATCTAGATATTAAATGTCTGTTCTTTAAGTTCCTCCTTCACCATTGGAACCCGTCGTTTTACTCAAGTCTAATACAAATTCGGTGGTGTGTCGCATTTTGGTAATGTCATGAAAAAAGGAAGGACGGAACTGTGGTCACCACAGTTTGGACATCATCAGGGTCATCTGTGATTCATATATTCCATAACGACTAACCACATAATGGTGGCATCGAAGCGTAAACTTCAACGTTTACCATTAAGAACCATTAAATAGCTTCATTGTAAGCAGCGACACTTCATCAAAAAATAATAATAGGAAACGAAGTTACTGGAATATCGTATCATCTGGTAGATATGTAGATATATACTCCATATAATAGAAAAACATAGGATATGAGGTATCCATCTATGACACAAAATTAGTACATGCACAGCAAAAAACACACAAAAAGCAAAGGGACAGCGATTATATTGCTGTTCTTCAACTTATGTAGGCAGCTACTGCAGAGACGGTGTTACATAGAAATGGAAAGCTCACATTGCGAAAACTGTATCTTAGTCATTCTCGTTTGAAAAAACGATATCATCGAGTAAACTGCTTTTTACTGTACGATCTTGTTCCTTTTAAGCACTGGTTGTTTTTTCCGCTTATCGTTGTGGAAAGCCGAGGGTTGATCATAAGTACTCAAAACCACTTTAACTCTGTCACATTTAAAGAGCTTGTCCCATGTAATGTAATAACCGTGTCGGTGGTCGTTTTGTTCATGTTTCTACTAAGTTGAATTTTGTCCTTTAAATAATTTTTTAGTTTCGTCTTCGATCTATCTGCAACTTATTTAGACATGGCTCCTGATCTGGGACTGGTACTTTAACATGCCACGAGTTTAATTCTAGATTATGCGCACTCAAAACCTACTTTTTCATTTCGATCATTTGAAAAGCAATCGGTACATAGAGGAACGTACTATAAGAATCAGTTCAGAAAAAAAACCTGAATTCTATGATATTGTGATACTAGTACATATAAATAAGTAAAACAAATTAGCACCCTTTCTTATCTCATCATCTTTAGATTTTTAATTTAGGTTACAATGAAGTACTTATTTATTTAGGCGACAATGGTACACTTTTTGGTTTCTGCCTTTTCACTATAAAAATCCATTGAAAAAAACTATCAAATTCTGAATTTTTAACACCTTTTGGTGTGAATAATACTGCAAAAGAAAACACATATGGTGCAGCAGCTTTTTTTGATAGAAAATGGCATTTCTTAAGGGGACTCTATGGTTCTGGAATTTTCGAAATATTATGAATGAAGAACACCCCTTGCTTAATTTTGCTCATCACAAAGAGTTTCCTCCAAATTTCTCGCGATTTATACACCAACAGCCAACATTCATTTCTCACTATTTTCATTTTCTTTTTCTAATTAACAGGGAAAATAAATTAACATCTACCTATTATCTTGGTTGTAAAATTTGGTGGCGCCCGTCATCTTTATTTACTTCTTTTTAACCTTTAAGCAGTCGGATAACAAATGTAGTTACCTGGGTCTTATTATATAATAAATAGGTTAGAAAAAGTACTATTAAAAGTGTTTTCTATTACATTACCGTTTAAAAATTGTGTAAGCAAAGAGAAGATACCTGATACGCATATCATTATATTATCATTTCATTGTGTCACAAGGGTTTCTCTTTAATTTTTATTTACAAAAATTATATTAAATTGCTGCGTTAAATAAATGATACTAAATTTTTGTTAAATACGAATGTCCAGCAGTCCAAATCAAGTAGGAATCAGTCGGGAGAATATTTTGATTTGGAAAAATCAGAAAGTGTCCGAACAATTCTCGTCTTACCCTAACCCGATTGGCACTGACACTTTTCCTATGCATAGTTATGTTGGTAAAGTAGTCAACTATTTCAGCGAATCGTTTTACAAGGGAAGATCAAGTGATCTTTGCAGTTTCTTATAAAGTGCAACAACAACCCGACCAAAGAGCAGAAAAAAGCCCGAAGCCAACAATGGGTCTTCAACACTGCGAGAAAATCCCGAAGGCGGGCATCAGCTGGTCCCTAAACAATAATGTATACTAGTTCAGCTAATGAACGTCACACTAAACTCAGAAACATATAAATGAACCAAAATTTAAAAACATACAAGACTAACAAAGGCCAGAGGTTCTTGACTTGGTACAGGAGCATAAATGCGGCCGGGTTAAACTTGTTTTGTGAGATCTCAACCCTCCCCTATACCTCTAGCCAATGTGGAATAAACAAACACACAGCAATACGCACAGTAAAATTCAGTTCAAAAGAAGTCCGAGTCCGATGTTAGAAGAGGTAACAGAAGAAACTAAGCAAAATGTCAATAATCAACATAAATTAACAAAGGACTACTAGCAGTTACTGACATGCCAGCTCCAGACCTCAATTAAACTGATTGAAAGACTATGTCTTCATCATATGAAAATCAAGCACAATCCCTCCAGGTAGGGGTTTAGTATCATACCATCATAAAATATACGAGAAGAACATAACCCGTATCATGCCAACAACTGGTTTTAGAATAAATGTGTTTATTTTTATATTATATTATAATATTTTGAGTTATTCAGAGGGCACCAGGCGAGATTAGTGTTGTACTAACTTATATAACCTCTTTAACAATAAAGTATTTATTATTAATATTATTATGAAATTGTTAAATTGATATTTCTAACTTTTTTTAACTTCTACTTGGTCAAGCTTGTCCAAATAATAATTGATCTCATTCTAATTCTTCTAAGATACAGGTTACATATCTTTAAGATGAAATAAATATATATACCAGTTACAAAAGACTGAATTATTTAGTATCCAGGCAACTAATAACTGCCAAATGTCTCGTGCAATACACATCCCATTAAATCTTAGTAACGACCAATCGAACGACGTGAACACAAGGCGGATAGATAAAGGATCAGACATACTAATTGGACAATCATTATGGAAATAAAACGATATGGAAAATATCATTTAATGACAGAAAATGCCTAAATGCACTTGACTAATTCTAAAGTAAAGGAATAGCGCTATTATTGCCACCATTTCTTCATTTCAGGCTGCTTCGATGTAGCCAAGTGTGCTGAAAGTGGCGTTAAACAATTTTGTGCATTTAAGAACAAAAATGCGGGATAATATGAAAAAAAAATCAAACTATGTAGAGAAATCAAATAAAAAGTGCACATTTAGGTTGATAATATTACTGTAAAATACAGAAATAAAGCAACCACTTATACACCAAGTTATTTACTAAGTTACATACTATCTTTAAAAATTAACTTGAAGTCTATCCAACTATGGTTCGATCTCTCATGCTCGATCTCATCGTCCTAAACATGCTTGAAATGTTTGCCACTGGACGTTAAGCAACCAACAATCAATCAATCATACTCGTAATCAAATGATAGGCGTTATACTGCACTAGTACGATCTGTTGTCTGGGATCTTACTAGAGCTTTCATCGTAAAGTTAATACAAAAGTTATCATTTATTTCAACTTAACTGCATTAGTCCAAATATTATTATACCTTAAAAGTACTTTTGTCAAAATCTATTAATTGGTTAACTTGGCCAGTCGCTCGCAAACTGAATACGCCGATAAAATAAATCGAATTATTCATATAAATGTTGTTCAATTATTCTATTTTTTTTCCTTTTCCTTTTATACTTTTAAGACATACACACACACATTTATATGGTCCTATATTGTTTTCAAAGATTTGTCAGTAAGTTTACGAGACTTTCCATCTAATCAAGCAATGAAATGTAGGTTTAGAGTCAGATGCAATCGGCAATCCACGGGTGAACGGAATTAGCCATCCACGGGTGAACGGAATTGGCCGAGTTTAGACGATTGCAGTCAGGCGATGTTTGAATCATGCGCATGTCATAGACAAAAAAAAATGCAGATCTAGAAGGTACACAGATTCAATAATGCATTGTCATAATATATGCACCTAAGGTTTATCATTAATGAAAGGCTTGTGTTCAATACATGTAATGCACTTAACTTAGCACTATGAAAATACCCATCTTGTTACAAGAAAAACATAAAATATACCTATAAGTGTTTGAAGAGACAGAAAACGTCGAGGTGGTCAAATCTTGTTGAGATAGATTTTCCTTTCCTGACATAGTTCGACTGAGGTCAAATAATTTCCCAAAAATCTGTTATTATTATCTGTAAAATAAATTCAACAGTTTTATGCAAGTTTTTGATATGATAGAATATCATGAATATATAGCAATTAGTTGACCAATAACAACATAAAACTGTATTATTTAACACATTTAGGAAAGTGAACTATTAGTTGGTAAGAACTTTCAATGGTGAACTATCTGGTAGTAGGAACCTTCAATGGTGTTGATATAACATGATTATTGTGTATCGAAATAATTCAAATCAATGATTATTTATGTCAAACACTCTTACCAAAACATTGAGACATATATACATATAATAAAGATATGTCACTAATAAACTATACAGTAATGACATTGTACAAACTTTTTTAATGAGATAAGTATGTATATGATTGTCAAGTTGTTAATAAAATGATAAACGAAATTCTAGGATGACAGGTGTAATTGTTTAACAGGTGCGATCAAAATCCTCCAGGACCTTAGAGTTGATAAATGACAGTACCTCGCCATCTTATGATCAAATCACAGATAGAACGTATAGATAAAGACAATGATGAAGTATTTCCTTGTTGTAAACAACTATTGTGATATCAGTGACATAAAGGTATCCTGTACCAGACCAACACTCTGAGTCGGATTTGTTTCGTGCCAGCTTAACAGTGCGAAAAATCGTCGGATATATTATGCTGACTCTGACCAGTCTTTGCTCTTGCTCCTAACTGTCGCGGAATTCGCGGATAAATAGCAAATATCAATTTAAAAGTCTTTAAATTGACCCGACTTACGATCTAACTAAAGACCGCCCGCACTCTAGGCGAGCATATTATATAACACCATGAGACTAATGAGATTGTTGACTGACTGATTAATATATGTTTAATGTCCAGTTGACTGACTGGTTAATGTATGTTTGATGTCCGACGGCAAATTTTCCAGGAAGAGAACAAGTAAAAAAATATAAATTTGATATGAAGGATCTAAAAAATAAATCGACCAGAATGAAGGGCGAGAAATATAGACTGCCACGCATATATAAAACTTCCAATGGGCGATTTAGTGCTTTTTTTGTGTGTAGACACTATTCATTTCACGGTTGTCTTTTGCTGTCGTTTGTGTCGTTAGCTTGCTGTCTTATTGACTACCTCACATCTTCTTTAGTTAATATTATACAAATTAAAGAAATATGTGTTAATGTTAGTTTTTCAGTGAGTATGCGAAGTTGACATAGTATAAATGTAGAAATGTGGTACGATTGCCAACTATCCACCAGAGACCAAAATGACGTAGAAACTTGCAACTATAGGTCACCGTACGGCCTTCAACAATGAGAAACACCCATACCCCATGTCAGGATATAAAGGATCAAATTAAAAACAATTCAAACGGGAAAACTAAGGCATGATTTTTGTACTAAACAAATATGATATACAGCAATAAACAACAACCACTGCATGAATTGCATGCTTCTGACTTGAGACAGGCCCATACAGAATGTGGCGGGATTAAACATATAAGCGGGCGTCCAACACGCCCCCTAAATCTGTTATGCATCTATGATACGTTTATGACAAAAGAAGTAGACGCATTGCACTAATTATATATAATTGAAGAGCAAACAGCGTCACTCAAATACATTCAATGATCAAACTTTAAATTTAAGTAATATATAATTTGAATTTAAATAGGAAAATTCAATTTCCTCTAATCCATTTTGAAAAACAAATTGATTCAAGGTACATCACATGTAATTTGACTTTTGTACTTTAAGGTTTCAAAAACATGATCTCGTTTTTTAATATATGTTACGAAATATGTTACGAAATTATAATTGCTTTAAATGAGTTCAAACTGTAACTTTGAACGAATTTGTAAATTTTAAGCATATATCCCCAAAAATATATAAGAATAACAATCTTGACTATAATATGTTATTACGGACAAGCAATGTATTGTCTGTAAGGGAGCAACCATTTAACTTCAAGAGGGGGAGGGGGGGTTACGGTTTTTTGTCTGAGTCAGAAATTTTTTTTCGCGCAAAGCACGAACATTTTTTTTTTAGTTTTTCGACGCTATCAATCAAATTATTTTTTTCAAAATTTAACACTATAAGGTATGGCGAAAATCTGGATTCACAATATTTTTTTTGGTCACCTGCTTGACAGATTCAACGCAATCATCATACACATCATCCATTTGAAATTGTCCTCCCGAATTGAGTGGACTCATTTAGAAGTTGGGGGTATTTGTGGTTGTTTGATTGATTAATTGTTGTTTGCTTTACGCCCAGTAGCAAATATTACATGCATATTCAGAACGAGAAAGAATTAAACATTAATACAATAGGTATAAGGTCCTGCAATAGGAAGTCGACCTGGTTGAAAGGGGGGATTTAGAATGCCACTGGAAAATAAGGATATATTGGATAGGGCCTGAATTTAAGACTTAAGCTTTCAACAGGCTACCTACGATTCCTTTAAAGGGTTGTTGCAAGGGTTCTAAACTAAAGAGAACGTGGCACTCTCTTTAAACGAGACACCGGATTTAACTCTCATTCTGACCGGACGTCACTGTGAATTTATACTTCCCGTACAGCTAAGTGAATGCCCAACTGCGGCAAGTGTTTTACTGTTGAAAGAAGACCAATTGGCCGTTTCAGAATCAAAAGGACTATTGGTAGTTTCATTGTTCGTACCCCAAAATGAAAATAACGTCACGTCATTGGTTGAATTTTCATTGTTAAGATATTACCCCTGATGCATTAGATTCTGAAATGGCGATTGATGAACATATTCCTATACCCCAGTCAACCCTCGGGGTAAATAAATTGATGGCAGCAGGACCAAGTGTAGAACCAATTATATAGTATGTGAAGGAAAAGGAAGAATAGGATAACAGTTCGATTCTTTTCCGCCTATAGCATGTATGATCATGTATTGCTACGCTGCTGTAGTCGTTATCTTTTTCTTACATAATCATGACATCTGTAGAACTCTCATAAAGTACTCCAAATCAGAGAAACTTTAGACATCGACCATTCACCTTTCCTTGCGGGGAGGGGAGTGGGGGTTTGGATAAACACATTTTTCAACTTTAAACATAACAAAAACAAAACAAAAATATTTGTTTTTTTAAATAGCATACGGGAAAAAAAATTATGAAACTCAATTTTACTCCTCTATTTTTAATGGAAACAAATTATATTTTTACTACCTCTCTGAAATTTTTTGTTTCTGAAGGAATTGGGAATTCACAAAAGTATTCAAGAGAAACATGCTCCCCTCACTTCCATTTAAAAGATGAATTGCGTCAAACTGCTATAGAGGTTTACAGAGAATTTTTTAATTCAAATCTATGTAGTGAACATTGACATTAATCCTACATGTAGTTTACTCGTTTGAAAAAATCTCATGTACAGGGAATTAAAATCGGTGTACAGATGAAAACAAATTTAATGTTAAAGCAGTGTTCATTACATGAGTGACGACACTAATTGCAAACAGGCTTACAGTACGCGACGTTTGTTGTGAACACGGCCTAATCTGCTTTAATAAAAATATTGTTAAAATGACCTTCAATGCAAGATTCTAGAAGAACTGGTATTTAGATATTTTGTCAAAATTGTTTTCATCATAAATGTAAATAACATTCTTATTTCGTGGATATAACATAGTTTGGAAAATCTTTCAAGTACTTTATCAAGAAATTCTTACTTTCTCTAGGTTTCATCAACTTGCCAATTTCAAATATGTATGGCGAAATTGATCATACCTCTTTATAGATAAAATTACAAGTCTGCTTTATCTGAACTTACTGTATGTGTTGGCCGAAGACATATCCACTGTGAAATATGAATTAAAGATTCATATATCAATACATATACTCCTTCAATAAAATTATTCATCCAAAATCTACCTTTATAAAATTAGACAGTAAGCCTTGAAATGCACATAACAATAAAGGACATTTTATGGTTAATATTGAATAATGGAGGGATGGCACAGTGACATCTGATCCTTCCATTAACAATGTCATTATTCATAGGGAATTCCGTTTCCTAATGATAAACTAAACACAGAAAATGTTAAAAAACAAAAAAACAAGGACATGTCTCCATTAACTTTTGTTGGTAAAGTAAAGGGATTAATAAAGACATAACTCTTTTTACATGTCGTTAATTAAGGAAGAACACAACATAACAGTTTGTTTACCATATGTTAATACAATTTCCGACTACTAAACTTACAAATCTTAACTTAAGAATGAACTCTCACATTTCCTCTTCCTCTTTTTCGAAAATTTGTGTCAATGTTTTTCAGATAAACTGTCCTAGGATATATATGAGGAAGGTTTCAAGTACTAAAAGGTTACACACCACATACTGAATACGTGAACAAATGGAAATGAAGGATATACGTCAATGAGACAGCAACCCAACGACATAGATACTCAAGAACCTTTATAGGTCAGCAAATAGTACTTTAACAATAGACAGGTGTCTATACAATATGTCAAGCAGCTTTAAGTCGGTCCAGAGAGTAAAAAAACTGGTAAATAATTTTTACATCAACACCAAATTCGCAAAAAAAGATATAACTTGTTTTGTTAAGTTATATATTTGTTATTTTGTTTCTCTTTGTTTCTTTTTCTTTCATTTTAATTGGGAAAGGGACAGGTTAGAGTTTGCTTAACGATCAGGTTATTTTTTGTTTAATTTGTTGATGAAGTTTCTACCCACCATGTAATGAATACAGTATAATATATTCATTGAATTCTTTCAATGTGTAAAATTGATGGCGTGATTATTATTTAAATCAGAATAATAGCTATTTACTAAAAAAACAATTTGATACTTATTCATCGTAGTAATTTATTGTGTAGTACATTTACAGGTACGAATGGTTTTATAAAAGAAGAAAAATCTTTTTTAATCTTTTTGCGTAACTTAAATTATTACGTCTTTTATATTATACTATCAGTTTACTAGTTATTTGTTATTGAACGAACACGTCTAGGGATTGTCATTCAAAGCTTTTTTCATGTCTTAATACTGGTACACATGTAAACGTGCATATTCCGCAGGACGGGGATTTTTAACATGCTAGTCACAAGGAAACTGTTTATCGGAAAATTTAACCGGACAACATTATTCTGACTTTAGCGTCACAAGTGGAATAATCTTTATTTGGTAAACTTGAGGTCAACGGTTTGGAAAGGAAAAAATATAAAACGTCTAAGAACATGAAATCCAGTTGGAAAGCAAAAAATGTAAAGGTCAAAATAAAACTGCAAAAACGTCTTAATCTGAGGGACACGCAAGCCTTGTTCTGTCAAGTGATGTTATGATATCGAAGCACTGACTATTGAGTAGTGTTACATCGGAAACTGATAGTCCAATAGTAATGATACCGACTCTGTATATATGGTAGGATTACCAGTCCAACAGTAACGATACCGAATCTGTATATATGGTAGGATTACCATGCGCTTGACGCGTGTTTCTGAAATGTCTTTAATCATATACCATGCTCTCAAAATATAAATAGTAGTGTAGCATGTGTAGTATCAAATAACTATATCTACAAACATGCTTTTCTACATTCTCCCGTGGACATACCCATCCCCCCATGCTGAGACCTTCATAAACCTGTCTGATCATTGTTTGATTCCTCTGCCCCAAAATTGTGGTATAAATCAATTACATGTAATATTTAAGACATTTCCAAAAAACCTACCTTTTAACAGCAATTCAAATTTGATAAAAAGGGAGTACAAAGTATGTTTATATTCAAACTGTTCAGCTTACTTTGCATTTAAATTTAATCCATGTGATGCAACATATACATCAAAGTATCATTTACATAGTAGGTAACCCTCCGGCTGGTTAAAGGGTATAAATTATCTTACACAATAACATAACGTGTAAATGAACATGCACATACAACTGAAATATTGATCTCAATATTGTCGATTAAGAAATACCACTGTGGTAAATGCTTTCAATAGACATTTTCGAAAACTATTCGATACCGACTCTTACACCTAAGCCTATGCCTACAGGTAACCTTTTTGAGAAGGGGTCATCTCAATATGTATAACGACCACAGGCATTTATATTTTTACTAATCTACATTTTAAACACTCTTTAAAAATCTTATTTTGGATGATTTGCTACTTTATTAGGTCTTTTTAGTAACTGAGAATTGATCGATCTGAATATTGTACTTTGTGAAAAAAAATAGTAAAACTTTAATCAGAAACAGGAACGTGTAAAGTCTTTTAAAGCGTGAAACAGAACGTGTAGATATAAATACATTGTAAAATTCCGTACACCCCTGATAAAACAAAGAAAACAAATTTTTATTTCTTATGAAACTTTCTTTTACTAATTTTGATACCTGAGTATGAAATTGAAAAGTTTTAGGAAGAACTTCCACTTCACAATTCAACACTGGTTTTGCCGCGCACGTTGTCAAATGTTACTTTGATATACATGTTTTTGTTTGTAAATGTGGGGGAAGGGGATCAAAATTATATTTTTGTGTTTACTTTTGAGAAATTGTTTTTGTTTTTAGGAATTTCGGCAAAAAAGTTTGTTTTTTTTTTTTGGAAGAAGGGGGGGGGGGGGGCATTATTTATTTATTTTGTTGTAATTTTGTAATTTTTTTATTACTTTTTGCATTTCGTTTTTATTTTTTTTCAGTTATTTTTTTACTTTTGGACTATAACCATTTTTATTTTATACTCGAGTCACCGAAACTTCCATTACAAATCCTAAGACCTGTTGACTTACATTGATTTAATATACGCTAAGCCTTGCTTCATAAGAAATAAGATACAAGATACTTTGTTTATGTTCCGAATTCTTTCTAGCTATCCAATTCGCCAATTGTATATTCTACCGAAACACTGTATTCCATTTAAATGGTTGCAAACGGAGACAATAAAAAAAAAAGCAGATGGAATGTCACAAATTCTTTACTTGAAATAATCCAAAACTAATGGCAGCATTCGGCGTTTCTAGCTCCGATTCCGAATAAAAAATTATAAAAGAAAAAAATACAGAATATATTTTTTATATCTGTAACCAAGTTTTACGAGGTCATTCATTCAGTATGTTTCGAAATTTTGATACGGTCCCTATATTCTTATAGTCCGTGTAGGTATCGGTGTCGGTGTAAGTGTCAGTGTAGACGACTTTTCGAAAATGTCTAATTAGACTCAATATTGTCGATTAAGAAATACCACTGTTGTAAATGCTTTTAATTAGACTCAATATTGTCGATTAAGAAATGCCGCTGTTGTAAATGCTTTCAATTAGACTCAATATTGCCGATTAAGAAATACCACTGTTGTCATGGTTGTAAATGCTTTCAATTAGACTCAATATTGTCGATTGAGAAATACCACTGTTGTAAATGCTTTCAACTAGACTCAATATTGCCGATTAAGAAATACCACTGTTGTCATGGTTGTAAATGCTTTCAATTAGACTCAATATTGTCGATTAAGAAATACCACTGTTGTAAATGCTTTCAATTAGACTATCTCTATTCAAATGTATGTATACTCAAGATACTGACAAATAATGAATTACTATGAAAAGATAACGATGAAATATTACCGTATTTGACAAAACTACTATCTTTTTTCCCTTCAAAAGATATAAGGGCCTAAAGAATTACAATTCATATGACCTTGGTTTAATACTGTCATACTTATAAATCTAATCCATGCACAGATACAATCGAAAGTACTTTTGTATGCTAGACATTTTATAAGCACTTTTTTGTGTATAAATTCTAGTATGTCATAATAAATAACACAATTAAAGTAGTAATAAATATAGACTTGAGCTACATGTCAATAAGACAGATGTCTTACATCATAAATATACAAAAAATAAACACCAGGGAGTACCATTCGATTTAAACATCTATAAAACACAGCTTTAATTAACATGGACCTGTTGAGAATTTAAATACCATATAGATTTTGTAAATGTGGAAGAAATATGGAAGCGATTAACAAACACTTGAATGATTATGATTAGAACTTTGTCTTGATACACGAACCCTCCAGTTTTAAGGACTCGTGAGTAAAAGCGGGGTATACCACAATGCGACAGCAACTCACTGACACAAGTAATCTCTAGAAGTATAGAAGTATAGAAGTCAAGGCACAGACTTTAACACTAGACAGATGTTTTAACAAAATGGCGACATTAAAATCGATTAGGGTCTTTAAAAGAAACTATCCAAAAATCCGCCATCAACACAAAATTCTCCAAATGTAAAGAAATATATTACTGGCTAAAGTTTGTTATTCCTGTCCCTCAGAGACTGTTATGTTTTATTCCTGTTCCTCAGAGACTGTTATGTTTTATTCCTGTTCCTCAGAGACTGTTATGTTTTATTAAATTTGATTTATTACATGCTTTGATCATCACATTGATAAAACAACGATTGTCTCATGCAAAGCAAAATTATCTTACATTTGTACCTTTAGGGGGGTTTGTAACCAATTTCAGTCGGAGGGAAGCTTATAGCTAAGTTTTGAAAGTGTATGCCACTCATCTGTGTTTGTTTTTGCTGGTTCGTACACTTTTTTGTATCGGTGAGTCTGTACACTATGTTTGTTGTATTGTTCCGTACACTTGTCTCGTTGTTTTTGGTTTGCATTTGCTGGTCCGTACACTATGTTTGTATCGATTAGTCCGTACACTTTTCTCGTTGTATTTGGTTTGTATCGTTCGTGTATTGCCATCTGAATTTAATATCTTCCTTTCAAAGAACGGACATAAAGTGGATGACCATAAGAACAAAACACCTTAAATTGTGAGGAAATTTACAAAGATGTATAAAAAAATAACGCATTTCTTGCAGTTCTTTATCTTGACAGATGTGTCATGATGTTCTACCT